ACTGATTCTTTGTGGCAAGAATCCTCTTTGTGGTTTTCACCACATTTGCCACAACGAGTTTTGTTGCCGCAATGGCTGGCCGAGTGTCCCAGCCTTTTGCAGTTGGTACAATTATATACCCTCTGTACAAACAACCGCACCGGAAAAAAAGCACCATCAACTTTGACAAAGTTTGGGAGAGCTGAACCAGCGAAAGTCACCCGAAACGAGTCTGAATGCTGATAAACTTTCTTGTCATCTTGCAAAGATACTGAATGCAGTTGCCTAACATCCAGTATCTGTACCTGCTGACCGATTTTCGAGTTTTTGAAGCAACCCGATGCTCGTTTTAAATCCTCGACACTCAGACTCGCGTCGGAGACCACACCTTCTATCTCCACATCTCGAGAAGGGATGTAGATGTTGTACTCAACACTAAACAGCTCATGTTCAGCAATTTTATTTGCCACATCATAAGTCGGTGCTTCTACACGCAGTTTATTGAATCTCTCCTTATGTACCAAGATTCCCGGATACTTCCGCAGCAAGTCTCTCGAAATGTCGAGAGTTTTCAAAGGTTTATTTTTAGGCCGAAAAAAGACAACCCATGGTCCTTTCGAAGACGGTTGATAGTATCTAGTTCGCGCAACGTAGGTATCTGAAGACGCCATAAGTGTTGCGCAAACGCGGTGCACAACCGCTTAAAAAGGAAAAAAAAATACTTCAAAAAACCTTCACCAATTAATCTACTTAACTACTAGTTGTTAATATTTTGTTGCCCAGTGTATGAACAACCAAACAAAACAAAAACAAAATTATCAAAAAAAAAAAAAAAAGAAAAAAGAAAAACTTTTCACTAGTTGCAAGAAGTTGCACCACTATAGCCCTCACAACCCTATCAGGGGAGAGAGCAAAGCCACGCGCAAAATTGAATAACAAAAGCGCGGCAATGGGCTAGAGAAGACTATTGTATAGTAGGTATACTTAACACCGGCCGGTGCCGGCTGTGTGAGCTGGTGCAGCCACTCCGTTTGCTGCTTTGTTGTTGTTGCTTGCTGCTTTGGAGTGGTGATGAGATGATGACGGTGAGATGATAGTCCACCTATAGCGTCGCTAAAGGTGGCTACTTCCTCTGCTGACTGCGGTTGCCTTGGGCACTGAACTTCGTCCACGGTAGGTAAAACGCGCGATATAAAAAACCACTATGGTGGGAAAAAAAACTCCACCGGCTACGAAACCAATACCCGCAACGGAGACACGAACAAACTACGTCCGGCTACTTCAAGCTATCGGCGAGGAATGACTATGTTTGTTTTGATTCTCTATGAAAATTTGACAGATTAAATGAGGGGTTCGTGGATTTTCCCATGTTTCGAGGGGTGCATCTATTAGCTTGGGACTGAAGATAATACCAGAGTTGAGCCAAAAAGTTGATCACGTTTCTTCGGGACCTATAGAGTATACTAGCATAGAGGTAACTCTAAGACCACTGGGTCCCGAAGAAAATCATTATTATTTTTGGCTCACTCAGTACCAGAACAACGGTCCCAAGCAGTCCCAAGCTATTTCACTCACCCCTGCATGTTCTGCATGAATCCACACACCCCTGATGTTATCTGTCAAACTTTCATAGCGAATCAAAACAAACATAGTGTAGTAATAGAATTTCAACTAGAATAGGGTACGTTAATCAACAATCAATACGAAACTAACGATTTTAAATTGGTTCACCACTTTAGTAGCCTATTGGTCCCAAGCAAACGATTAACGTACCCTATTGGCGTTGACGGCACCGTCGAAAAATTTGCTCTTCCAGCAAATTTAGACAGTTTCTTATGGGAATTTTCGGTCGAGGGAAAGGATAGTACAAAGTCCGCCATGTTTCACGCACAGTCTGACGTTTGCTTATGGATTTTCTCATAGGAGTAAAGAGCTACAGAGTCGCCGTCAACGCCAATTCTAGTTGAAATTCTATTACTACACTATGTTTGTTTTGATTCGCTATGAAAGTTTGACAGATAACATCAGGGGTGTGTGGATTCATGCAGAACATGCAGAAGTAAGTGAAATAGCTTGGGACCGATGTTCTGGTACTGAGTGAGCCAAAAATAATAATGATTTTCTTCGGGACCCAGTGGTCTTAGAGTTACCTCTATGCGTTAATCGTTTGCTTGGGACCAATAGGCTACTAAAGTGGTGAGCCAATTTAAAATCGTTAGTTTCGTATTGATTGTTGATACTAGTCTTAGAGTTACCTCTATGGTAAAAGTAAACCTGGTTGCACGGCCATCAAAGTTGTTTTGTCTGCAAGGTTTGGAAACGGGCTGTTTTGTGTTTACTTCGAGTGACTTTTAATTTGAGCGCCAGTCGTCTGCTTCAGCGTCACGGTAATACGAATACTTTCTTTAAACCATACACAATTAGAAATTATTACCGTATTCGGTAATTTTTTACCGAACTTTCAACAGCTGAACGTTCGCTAAACAGATTTTTTGATGAGCTGTCAAAATTACCGAACAATTCGGTAATTATTTACCGAACTATTCAATAACTTTTTTACTTAACTGTTTCGTAACTGTAAAATTTATTATTTGCGAGATTTTATTTAATAGTAACAATATATGTTGAAACAACATATATTGCTCGCTGGAGTGTTCATTTTGCAGGTGGCTGCTTTCATGGGGATGCCAGTCCAGAAACATTGACTGGAACCTGATACCAAAAGCACAGAATTGGGTTGTTTAGGGGTATTGAGGTAAATACATATTCGTCATCTGCATTAAAAATGAAACCGAAATCCAAAATTTCATCAATTTTGGTACACTGGAACTATTTTAAATAAGTACGATTACATTAGCAAAAATCACCAAACTAGCGCCCCTCGGTGGGACTTTGTATGGGAGCGATCTGTCAAGGAATAGATTTAGTGTCATCGATCAAAAATTTAAATCTTGATTTAAAAATCGAGATGAATATCTACGGGATTGATAAAAATATCGTTGTGCTCAGATGATGTATAAAAATCGGTATATTTTCCGAAGTTAAACAACCCAATTCCTGGCTGCGTCTGAAGAGCAATCATTAAAATGAAAGAAATAACTGTAATAATCAGTCTCATTAGTAATATTTAAGAGATGTGAAATACATCTGTATTTGCGAACATACCTACATTATTTTCACTGGATTTTCCGGTCACATTTCATTATTACTGTTAACTTTAACACTTGATATAAATATGACCGTCTTTCGATTTGACAGTCTGAAATTATTTACAGAAGGTCGGTAAACGTTCCTGTAATTTGCAGTTTGTTCGGTATGTTTGTCTATGATAGCGTCGTCAGAGAAAAGTGGTTTCAGTTCTGTCGGTTTCCTCCCTCCCCTTTAAATTCTCGATTTTGTAGCGTAATTAATATAACATATTGATAATTGAATTCTAGATAGAGCTGGAATAGATCACATCATTCGAGCAGTTTAAAATGACGTTTTCTACCACTCGAACTTTAATACCCCGTTCACATTACAGCGTATATCACGTGATATACGCTGTCTTGCAATGAGCACTCATACATCTAGTTTTCACTGGAAATCCTATGTATGAGTGTTCATTGCAAGACAGCCTATATTACGTGATATAGGCTGTAATGTGAACGGGGTATAACGTGGAACAATATTTTAATATTTTTTCTTCTACAACCTCGAGAAAATAGGGTCTTATTTGTAAAATGCTTGAAAAATCTGGATTTGATTGTTTCATTTCCGTAAAATCTCTGGTAGGAGGTCGTCCCAAAACTGCTCGACTGTAACAGTTTTTGTAAACAATGACTTCTCTCGATGATTTCTAGAAAGCCTAGATCTGCTCACTCAAATCGCCGTCACCATCGGATAGGGGAAGACTTCCCCTTCCCGTTGTTTATGTTGGTTTGCGTTGGTTTGTTGGTTGAAATCATCTAGAGAAGTCATTGTTTGCAAAAGCTGTTACGCGCTAATTCCAGCTATATCAAGAATTCTCGTTTATATGCTAGTACAAGTCGTAACGACGTTTTCGGGGTATCCTTCAAAACATTTGTGGAATAGTCCTATAATTTGGATTATCGTTCGGTAATGGATTTTTTTTTAATTATGGTTATCCGTTGGTTTATTTTCAAACTACATCATTTTTTACAGTTCTTGGTGTGTTAAAGTTTCATGCCGGCCTGATGGAACAGTCTTATCAATATTTATGCATACTTCAATCCCTAATTAATTCAACGATTTGTTGTATTAAATAAAATTATAAATATTAAATTCAGTGCTAACATTTGAAAACGGCACAAAAGCCATTTGTAAACAAATGGTTTGTGGGCCCTTTACTCACTACTTGAAGTACACCCACGCGACACAACAGCAACATCGGGTAGGGGAAATTTTCCCCTTCCTGACGATACTGTTGGTTTTCGTGGGCGTTCTTCGGGTAGCGAGTAAAGGGCCCACAAACCATTTGTTTACAAATGGCTTTTGCGCCGTTTTCAAATGTTAGCACTGAAATAAGTAAAATTTTTACTCATTATTTACCTCCTCGTATCTCTTAAAAAGATATTTTTATGAACCACCCTAGTGTCCATTTGTGTGAAGCACACTCTGTTGTCGAACACTGGAAGCATCTTGTTCCGTGAAACTTTTTCAGCGAGCAACTCGACATCTAATCCGCCGATGACAGCTGATCATCCGTCAGTGTTCAATTTCCAGTTCTTGTTAGCGACTCGAGCAAAACAACACCACTTTCAAAACATTCCAGCGCATCCCCTTTCGCTACTGTGTTTACTCGAGCTGTTATCAGTTTTCTATTTAATTTTCTAATACTCATCTCGATAGTTTTTTTCTGAATGTGATTTCGCGACGTGTTGTTCGCGCAAGCGGCTACGTACTTTATTACATTCGAGTTCGGTTCGGGACGTTTTCCATTACGAAAATCGTCGATCTAGTTGTAGTGCTGTGTAATCTCACCTCACCCGGGCTCCACCATGTCTGCTTCCATCTTCCAGGAATGGTGCCATGTCCGTCTGGAGCACTAGCACGGCCGGAATCGATACAGTGCTCGCAACCACCCTAGGAGCAGCCATCAATCCGAAAACCTTCAGTACAAATCACCTGCCCAGTGCCGGCCTTGTGGTGACTCAGATTCCGAACGGAAACGGAGCTTCGACAACCCCGGGTGCCCAACAGCAGCAACAACAGCATCATCATCATCAGCTAAATTTCGTCAGCGCTGCCAGTAACAACAGTCCCAGCGGGAACGGGTTCACTCACGTCCATCTGCTGACGACACCGACGGGGAATCTGACCGGCAACGGTGGCGGCGGACCGTTCAGCACTAACAGTACCAGCAGCAACAGCAATCACAGTCATTCCCCACCCAGTCACGGATCGTTTCCGCACAACAATTCCGCGGGCTGGAACCGAACCAGTATTTGCAGCACTCACAACAAGGTAAGAAATGTTTCGTTATATACATAGGTCATATTGAATAACAATTGTTATTTGTATGTGCTGCTCGATAAGCAGCGGAGATAGGTAGTTGATTGAAGTCGCTTGCAATCGTAGATGCTGACGCGCCATGCAGTTAATTGGTACCATTTATTTTCAAGTTTTATTCAGCATCTCATTTTATTGTAAATATGTCCTCGTTTCCGGGCATTGATTAATGGCTACTTGCCATCAATCTCTATCGCTTCAATTTGGCTAATCCAATCAAAAGTCTGTTTATTTACGCTGACCTAAAGAAAAATCACCAACATTTCACTCTGGGTGTTTACGCAGAATGCAACGAAATGAAACATCATCATAGCAGATCAACGAGAAGCAAACAAAAGTGCGAAAAAAAGTAAATCACGCCGGCCGGCCAACTCGGCTTTTAACAACGGATACATACAAGTATTTTTCATCAAGCTCGCACCATTAGACAGAGGAAATCGTGTTGGCGTTGCTTGATCGTTCTGGTTTGGTTTTGAAAATTGTGAATTCTTACTTCCCACATCCACACTTTTTTTTTTAACCGAGCATCAATCTCTTTACGACTCGCGAACAGATTGAATGAGACGAACATAAATTTAAAATTTGTCAGTTTTCAGCCGAAAGCAGGTTTCTTCTGATTATTCTTCTTGGGGTATTACTTCCCAAATGGGGCTTTACGTCTGCCCTCCGCACTTCCACAGTTGATAATTGAGCGCTTTTGCTTACTATCGTAATTTCATAGACTAGGCTGGAAATTGAACCCTTCACATCCGGTATGGTATGCCGTGCTTTTACTGATTAGGCTATCGGGAGGCCCTGGTGAAAGAATACCGTAATACATCGAAATCCGGACACTTTTTAAAGGTTCTACCATGTTCAAAATTACACTACATTTCGTGATGGTGTGTCAGTTAAGTTTAGAATCATCGCACAAATTGATTAGGTTGTTGAGTAGTTAATAAAATAATAAATGTACGGATTAACGAACTGTCCGCTATTACGGTACATTTTATTTACCTCAATCTGGACCGGTGCCAGGTGTGAGATTGTGAAATTGAGGAACAAACGAAAAACGTTTCGATTTGCCATGAACTTGGCTTTGATTGGTTGGTTGGTAATCTTTGTTTACTAGGCTTTCACTGGCCATAAACGTATAGCAGTCCCATGTGGATAGAGCGTACCGGTATCTGGTGACTGGGATAACCAAGGTTTTGGTATTTTTACGATATTTTCAGAGTAAAACATTCAGTCAGTAATTGATTCTAGGAAATGACCAATTGTTGTCAAATAGTACTGACACGTCTCGGAAGATTAACTTGATGTGAATCCTTGCAATGGTGATATTTTGGAAAAAGTAGATCAGATGACGTTAGACATAAATTAGTTAGGCCAAATTAATCATTAGGCTGCAGTACGTTAGATAGAATGGGTAATTAGGTCGAATATTTTTCAGAAACTTGAATTTTTAACTTATCTAGGAACCACCGATCAAGATTCTAAAACTCATTTTTTCCAAGACTCCGAGCTTTATACTTAATTGCATTCTCGATGTTCGGTACTTTTATTAGCGGACTAGACTCGGCAAAACTATTAAATTGCTACACATTCGGCTATTTTACCATGTTTATACCGAAAACAGTAACGTGAGTAACTGAAGACCAGTATATTCTAAAATCATTTACTGTGTTTTGCTATTTTCATTACTGATACGTTCTGTAAACTTAAATTCTCTCCTGTGGCCAATTGTTTCAGTAATAACTCTTACTGACATCTCGGTTATCATGCTACTTTTACTGAATGTTCATCACTTCATTACCGAACATTTGTTTAAATTTACTGAACAAACTGCTATTTTTGATTTCACGTGGAACATCTGTCAAAAACTTCAAAAGCGCGCCATTTTGTATTGCTAATTTTGTCATACGCAGTGAACATTGAACTGTTTTTATTTTCCCAAAAGTTTTAACTGATCTTTGTTTAAAAAAAGGGAATATGGACGGAATTTTTGAGCGGATCGAAGCGATGTAGGAGCGAAGGAAATACTTTGTAAGTAAATTTACTTTCATTATGATTTCTCCGTAGAATACTGCGACGGTAGACGACAACATAATCTGTTTTTGACGTAGGACTACGTCTTTGATTTCTATATGGGGGTACATTTTGTGAAAACTAAAAATGGAACATGTAACAAATTAAGAAAGATTTTGAACGTTAATAACTCAGCTGCCTCTGGTCCAATTTCAATAATTTTATCACCAATCGATCAGAAATATGACGAATGTTGATTTTCTTCGAAAAACTATTGAAAAACTGGTAAATGTCCAGCATTGTCCAAATGCGTCGAATTTACTAACAAATCTACCAATTACCTACATGCATATGCTGCTTCCCCAGCACAGTCGTCAGAGAGTAGTAAGTAGACGAAACAAGTCGAAGTGGCATTCGCCTCCGATCCTCGGGCGCGTGCGATTAGGGAGGATGGAATTGCGTAATATTTTGCGCACTCATCGCCATACTCAGAACACGCTCCTAACGACCACACCACTGTGTGGTGGTGTTCGGTCGTCGAAATTAGTAGCAGCAGTAGCAGTGCTTTCGGCGTGTGGCGTTGAAAATTGTTCTCCAGTAACAACGAAAGGCTGCCTGCAAGCAGCGAGCTGCAGAGCCCACATAAGCAACCATCAAAGGAGGAAGAAGCTGCACCGCTATGCTATGGATCGGAATCAGTAGCTCTTCGTGAGTCGCTGCGGGTCGATCATCTATGCCAAGCGTGTCACCCTCGCTCCAAACGACATACAGCTCGACAGCCTCATCCGTGTTGAACACCCAGCTCAGAATTACTCAACCATCACTACAAAACGGTCCTTTTCAGGGCCACCAAAAAATTTGTTGAAGAGTATTATTTGGACATTGGTCAAGGTCATCAGTTCCCGCAAGCAGCTAGCTATCAAGGCTCAACCTGTCTATAGAAGGTGTGGAATTGTAGGCCTGAATATATTGGTGCAATTAGTTTTTCCTCGGCTTTCATTCCGCACGATTCGTTTCTTTCGTTTAATCAATCACTCTTGTAGTGACGTCGAAAAGATTGTTTCAATCGGCGCTTACATATGAAATTTAATGTGGATTATAGAGTTTTTTGTGTGTTACCAAAATTTATGAATGGTTTGCCACTAAATGTTGAGATAATTTATTGATTATTGAATTATCACACTGTATACAATTAAAAAGCAGCATGTTTGTGAGTTGTTACCTGTTTTCAAGTAAGGAGTTATCATAAAAAACAAATCGCCAGCTGGTATTTCCCGGCGACTTTACAAATAAATAAAATCAACCAAATCATCATGCAGAACTAGCTAGGATTTGTTTTACTTCATATTCCACAAAATTGCTTTCGAGTGTTAAGACATCGTCTCCCGCAAAGTTTACATTTTTCCCTCTACCAACACATACATCAGGGCTAGATAGATCTCCACAGGTTCTATAGAATCCACGCAATTTCAATAGATAGATTTTAATTCTAAACAAGCCAAACCATTGGAAATTTATCTATTAATCTGCTAAAATGAACACTTAGTTAATTTTCAATAGGTCACTATTAAAAAATACCAGATGTCCAACTGTTGCAATGGTGATCAAATTTATCACCGAATGTACGAAAACAGCGCATTCCCTAACACAGACTTAAAAATCGAATTCGATGCGGTCCCACTGAACGGTGCTCATTCAATTACCGTAAGTGGTGGTGTCCAGTCCAGCAGCAGCAGTAGTAGCAGCAGCAGCAGCAGCATCACTACAAAACGGTCCGTTTCAGGACCACCATAAATTTGTTAAGAGTATTTGTCAACATGGACATTTGTCAAGGTCATCAGTTCCCACAAGCAGCTAGCTATCAAGGCTCAACCTGGTCTCTATAGAAGGTGTGGAATTGTAGGCCCGAATGTATTGGTGAGATTAATCATCGTCTGACCATTTTCCAGAACACGCTGGTAGGAAGTGTTAAAAATCCATATAGAATTTGAGAGAAGTGGGAATAATTCGCTTTGGGTGTATATTTAGTCCCCAGAAAGCCAATAAAATCAAATTTGTGAAAAAATTAGCTCTCACGAGTTCAATCTCTCGAAGTCCCTCCTTTTTTACATATTCTGCACAAACGATACTTTCCGCCCGCCCCATTTATATAATTCAGAAGGAAGTCCTGTGAGGGGTGAATTGAATACACTTTAATACCAAAATGCATAAATAACAATCAAAATACACATTTTAAAGTCGGGGGATGAATCGAAAATATTCAAGTTGACAGTCCCTTGGATTCTCTTCATCAACTTTCTCTTTGAAATAAATACTACAAATTTAATACGCTTACAAATAAAAAACAGAAAGAGTTAAGATAATTGATGATTGATCAATTAAAAGAACTAAATGTTCACATTTGTTCCGTCCACTAGCGGTCCTACGTCAAGCTTCCGATCGTGCCCCTAGGCACAGACCATTCTACTTTTTTCTTATGTCGGCGATCGGTTCCCAGATACTTGGAAGGCTTAGGACACCACTTATCTTGGCACACACAAACCGGGACTTTTAAAATTTTGCATTTTTTTTTTTATCATTGCACCTTCCAGAGGTGTCATATGCGGTACACAAACCAAAAATCGCTCAAGCGGCACATTAAGCAGAAGCATCCGTTGCTGTCGGAAGCTTCTTCTCCAAAATTTAAGGAACTCCGGGAACCTCCTCTCATTGAGGAGGTCTATCTAAGACAACATGAAAGTAACACCGGGGGTAAAGCACAACCGTCCGAGGAAATGCTTTCTCTCGATGAAATTAAAAAATAGCTTCGTTGAGCATTTGTCGCTTAGCTGGTGACGTTAGGCTTCCGCAAACCAAGGTTTTGGAAACTATCAAAATTTGCGAAAATGTTGTTTGGCAAATAGGAGAATACTTGGAAAAGAAGGCTGTTATGTTCCTTGCATCAAAGG